GGATGATAAATGAGAGAAAACCTGAGAAACAGGATGCTACTGAAGGAGATGTTACTAGATGATCCCTTCAGATCCAGATCTCCAGGCCTAGTTTTATATGCTTCTATAACTTTTATCCGTACTACCTATACGTATGGCTCGAATTTTCAAGAAGGGCTTTGGGAGGGGATATAACAGCATTAAAAATTCCGTAGCACTCACATGGGAAATGGGTATATAAAGACTTTAAGCACCTCAGAAAAAATTCCATCCTACAAAAAAACCCCAAACACAGCGTCCTTAATAATGAAACAAATATAAGATGTCAAATTTCCCTAAAAACCATTTTGTTCAATATTGTTTATATAGATATTTATACAGTGCACTGTATATATATCTTCATATCTATATACATATACATACATATATAATGTGTATATATAGAGAGGGAAATAAAGTCAGTCCCAGTTAAATGGAGATTTAAAACGTAATCTTCACAGTTCTATGTGCTAGCCATAAAAAGTACCAAAGGGAAAGAAATAAACAACGCAGGCAATAGAAAAGTCAAATTACTTTTTTCAAAGTAAACTTATTTAAAACTAACACAGTTATTAAACAGAAGCCCTTTCGCAAATTGTCTTTATTCTGGGAATCTTCAATATTTTCCATTTAGTAAATCCTTATCCGTAAGTGCCTGCCAATAACCTCTGCATAAACATGCAAGCATCCACATTTCCAAACTTTATGACAGTTAAAAAGCAATTTTATGAATATTTATGAAAGCAGTAAATTATTAAAATAAATTTAGATATTTACACATTAGAACAACATCTTCATTTAATGGATGTGGAAGAAATGTTAATATGTGAACATTTTAAAGATGAAGTGGTTTGGCCTTCAGGGCTTTTGTTACTCTATTAAAAGTTAATTTAGGACGGAAATTATGGCTTTTTCTTGAATCCCAACCTCAAAAGATTAAATCATGATCAAGACTCACAACATTTTTCAAAAAAGGAAAGCAGCGATGCTATTTCCAGAGGCTGGATATTTAAACTACTGCAGAGCTCACTCTGAAAAAAGCCTCCTCTGGCTTCTTTTCTGCACTCACAGCGGTGAAAAAGACTCAGAGGAGTTTCAGGGCAGAGGAGCTGGGTGGTAATGAGGTGGTTTCATCAGTCTTTCTGTCAACACACATTTTATACCAGCGGAATATATTTCTTGTCTACAAACACAGCAGTTGACCCAAGTCGCTCTTTCTCAAGACGACGTTCTGCATCACAGAAGTGATTTCCTTAATCACCAGTAATAAATTCCACCATCTTTCCCCACATTTATGTATCCTCCTGATTCAAAGACATTAGCGATTCTGCTCTGACCTCTTGTATTGAACTGGTTGCTGAAGTTCATCAGTGATCCAATAACCCGGACAAGTTTCTATGCAACCTGCTCTGGGTGGACCTGCTCTGGCAGGGGGGTTGGATTAGGTGATCTCTAGAGGTCCCTTCCAACCCCACGTGATTCTGTGTTGCACCAAAACACAAATTTTCCTTATAGCCTGAACCCCAGAAGCACTCACTTTCGATCTGAAGGTGTGAGGAAGCAACCAACCCCATGTGATTCTGTGATTCTGTGTTCCACCAAAACACAAATTTTCCTTGCAGCCTGAACCCCAGAAGCACTCACTTTGAATCTGAAGGTGTGAGGAAGCAGCTATTCAACCTTTTTTATGGCAGTATAATTCCTGAAGTTGGGTTTCACTGCTGTTCTACATTTGTCTCGTTTCAGCTTTCTCCTCAAGACTTTCTTCTTCCTTAATCCAGTCCCCTCTTTATTCCAGCTCTTAGAATTCTCTCAAACTAATCATAAGGAGTAGCCATAGCACTTAATTTTTTTTATTCTGTCACTTATGCCTGATTGAGAATTTTTCTGGTAAAGAGACAGGTATCTATGCATCTTGAGTGTAGGAAATTATCACTCCAGGTGCTAGGAGTATTAAATTCCTAAACCTTTCAGTTGCATTTGAAAATGACTCTGCCTTTGCCATACTGTAACTTGCTCCCCTCCCTTGAAGCATTTCTACCATTCTTTCTTCCCACTAATAATATTAATATTGTACCAGGCTGCGGTCTTGCTCCCTTCCTGATCTTAATAGCACCACGCCAAGCAGCTTAAATTTATGAATTTACAAAATATAATTAGAATCCATGATATTAAGGATTCAACTGCATATTCTAACAGCACGTTAACTTCAGGCTTTTCTGCGCACCCCAAATTCCCTGTATATTCCAATTCCAAGTCACTCCAAGCTCTGAACCCTGTCTGTGGTTTCCAGTGTGTCTGAAGATACAAGAGATGGGCCCAGTCCGAAAGAGACAAAGTAGAAGCTTCAAATTATTCCCAACCTCGATCCTTCCCCAAATTTTGTACCCTATCCAATCTCCATAAAATACCAAACTAAACCTCTACAGCAAAAATATTTTCAGTAATACAATTACTTTTCCAAACAGTCGTACTTCTATCACTTGGGCTTATTTCTGTAAATTATCCCCTTGTATATCAAACTGTTTTCTACCATCACATACTTCTTTCTCTTAATGGGATGTAAAGACTAAAGAAATGTTGTTCAGTTTTCACGGTGAGTTTATTATTTCTTTCAGGCTTTTTCCAATGGACTCAATATGGAGAGAAAGAACACTCGAGATTTAAAAAAAAAAAAAAAAAGGCAAATTAAAAACACAAAAGAGGAAAATAGGAAAACCACATGAAAAACAGCAGTTGATGAGGGCAGTAAAAGAGAGAAAGGCAAAAAGCATACCCGTGTGAGGGAAAATGCAAAGCTGGAAAATAGAGATGTGATTAGAAACTCAGTTATGAAGTGAAACCTCAGTGCAGGATCTATGTCCTGGTTTGGACCCAAATCCAGAGTGAGATATTTGTGTAATATAAAGTAATAATAATGAGAAATTAGAGAACATTAAAATGTGAAAAAATACAAGTTAAATACGGAAATTAGAAAGAAAACCAGTAAAAATATATGTATATACAGTGACAGCTCTGTTATGAACTAGTGTTCTGTTTTAATGTGATGTAAAACCAAGCACGTGGAAGACCGAGATAAGGAAAATACAAGCAGAGGGAAGTATCTGCTGAAACAGAAATGTGAGACTCAGTAAGTACAGAAACGTAAACATTACGGGGAAAAAAGATACAAAAAGTGGATTCAGTGAGATACTGGGCCCATTTAAACCAACAAGACTTGCTGTTTTAGGAAATCCTTCACTTAATATATTCCTTATGAAAGAAGAATCTATTTCTGATATCTTCCTATATATTTTCCTCATACTTTTACAACCATTTCACAGCCAAAGAGACACCATTTATATTCCGAAAAAAAGTCAGTTTACAACCTCAAAAAGAAGAAATCACAAATAAAGGGCAAAATCCCTTCTGCGTGAGCAGAACACAAAAAGGAGGTTTGGGGAGTTGTGTTTTTAGCTCAGATCCTGAGCACACATTCGAAGATGATCCTCAGATCATCCCATACTTTGCTTCAATTTGTGTAATTTCCACTCTAAATTTGCAAAATGGATTCTTGTGGAATAGCAGCTGAGCACCAAAGTGTAGTGTATGTGGCTAATTTGTGGCTAATACACTTCAGCCACCAATTAGCATTTACTTCTTGGGGCCAGACTTCAGCCAACCCAAACTGAAAGCTCCTGAGATGCCCCATTCTCAGCCCCGTTCTTTTCCCCTGCTCCTTCAAGCTGTGCTACTTGCTAATTTAGACATAGTAAGTGCTTACAAGAACACAAATAAAATTGGTAAAAAGTCCATCTCGTAGACACTGCAGACAGTGCTATTACAGCAAACTTTGCATCTTCATCAAATTCCTACTTTATGAGCCCCAATTGCCATTTCATTGCTTCTGACAGCTAGTGGTGAAATGCAGAATAAGATCTATTGGTGGAAATGATGCACAACAGCCAAGTTGCAACAATGATAACTGACCTTTCACAGCTGTAATTAGATTGCATCTAAATAATTCAAATAAACAGCTAAAGCTACTCAGTTGAAAATGGCATTTTTATTGAGACAAATATTATTCCTGTAGAAAAAAAAAAATAATCAAATGGTTATTTTCTGAACCTGTGTTGTGGTCCCAACTGTACTTTCTATGGCCAACAGAGCAGATCCCGATTCTCTTAATTATAAGATCTGGAGTTACTGTTCTTTTATAATTGCTTTTGTGAATTGGGAATATATTGTTTAAATATTTATTGGGCTAGTGTATTTTCTGAAAGGCAAAACAGCATTTTTATTTATAAAATATTTGCAATCGAAGGCAGTTACTTGACATTTAGAGTGTAAATGTGGCTTCTGAGTCGAGTCTATTAAGTCTAATGTAGGAGTGGAATGATGAGCTCCCTCTCTGCGCTCTCTGCCAGCGCTGGAGGAGAAAGAATGGACACACACCACCCCACGTACATCCCTCCCCAGGCATAACTGCAACCATAGAAGAAGGAAGGAAGGAGTTGAAGAAAAATATGGTTCTTGTGGTGGTAACCCAGCCATAGACCAGTAAATCCCAACGATTTTGCAGCATTTTGGTCTAACGACGGCCAGCATCCACCTACTACACACATTTAGTCAGAAACAAAAGATTTCATTGCAGTGTTCTACATACATTTTTAGAAGACACGATCCAACTATTCCTGATCTCAGTTGCCTTTTATTGTGTTGTTATTTCTTTTAGGGATTTCTTTCTTTGCCAAAAGGCTTATAGGACACACAGAGAAAATATGGCCCACGACTGGGGCACTGTGAGACAGGCAGCAAAATAAATAACTGTAACACTTAAAAAGCACTGCAGATCACTGGGGCTACTATTAAGGAAGAATCTCAACACCAGTAAATGCTGACTTATTTTGATAGGATGAGACAGTCCTTGATTTGATATTTTGAAACTGAAAAAAACCACCAAATAAATAATTCAGCTGGAGTGCAACAAGCGTTGGACTAACCTTATAGAGCAGAGGTGATTGTCCCAGCTTCAGAAGTGCAATTTTTTTGGTCACGTTCGTAATGGCTTGAATCTGGATCAAGTCTTCCGCCGTCCCATACTGTACATCAACAAGTTCTGCCTGCAAAGAGAAGACAAAAATCAAGCTACAACCGTCCCCACGCACCACTGAGGGTGCTCCTGCCATAGAAACTAAGTTTTTTGCATAAGTACCAGCACCTGAGCAGACTCCTGCAATTACCTTACCCCCACTCCCTAATTAGCAACACCTGGAATAACAACGAGCTTGAGAATTCCATCTGACAAACAGATCTGTATCTTTGCAGTTTTCATTCACAATTCATCAGCTGGGATATTTTTTTATATCAAAAACCCAATGGGTTTTTGCCAGTGCTTATAAGAAGTGGTGCTGGCTGTGATGAGGATTTCCCCTCGTTAGCTACAGCAATGTATTTAAAGCCACATAAGAGATACCAACACACTTCTGTTAATTTTCTTAAAAGGAATCAGAGTCTTATAAAGCATTTCAGAAAATGAGTGAATGATTATACTGGTCACTTAGAAAAAATATACGGATAATACATACTCTACCAATATACAATTTTATTATGTGGTCTGATTCCTAAGCAGCCTTACTTTAACTACTGAGTTATTTTCCTATAACCCATCAGTTATCCAAGCATTATACTTGGAAAACCATAGTGAAAAGAGACTACACTGCTCTGACACAAACTTTTTTCTTACTACATATTTTTAAATTATTTCCAACTAAATTAAAAGTGATTAGAGCATTAATATCTTCAGCTTTTCAGTCAGGACACTGCAAGAATATGTAGTAAAGGTCTAAGTTATTATTAAATGTCAAGCACTGCCAGTGATGGAAAAACACTTCAAGATGTGCTTTGAAGGATTTTATATATATATATATATAATATATATTTTATATTTATATAATTTAAGAATGACCAAGGGCATTTTTCTCACACATTCATAGCAATAAATTCTGGTGAAGAGCAAGCATGAGGATAATCAGTCTTCTACATTATTATTTAAGAATGTCATGAAGCTCTCAGGACACCATCAAGGACATTTGGGAACCTCTAAATCCCTATCCAGCGTTCCCATAAAACACAAGTATAGGAAGACACAGCAATATTACATGAGTGTTTAAAAATTAAAATAAGAGGCGCAGCACAAGATGGGAAAATTTCTCTTTCAGTTCAGTTTTGGTAGCTGAAGTACAGACTCATTGCCAAAGGCAACAGTTCTGATTTTGGGCATCTCTGCACCAACTGTTTAAATTCCAGGAGTTGCTCTGGATACGTAGGATGTGTGAAATTTTACTCGATTCCTGAACAGCGGTATTTCAGGATAGTGTTTATCCTTATAGAACTGTATCTGCATATTTTGTCTGAGTTTGCACCTCAAGACCGAAGTTGAAATCATACAAAAATTTTGCCAAGGTTCCTGTCTTCTTAAATGTATTCTTTGAAATTTTCAAGTTAACAAGTTTCTAAATCTGTAACATCATCAGTGCTGCATAAACCACCAGGTATTGAGAAAGGTCAGCCAAAGTTACAAAACACTTCTGGAACAGGGAAACATCAGATTTAACACCAAATACTGAAATGTAGGTATGGAAAATCTTGCACTTGCTGCAGTTTCTTCTGAAATGTGTGTTTTTAATTTTTAAAGAATACAAAAATTATTTCATAAGAAAATTCAAATGGTGACTACAGGCTGAAATCTAATATAAATTTTTTCTTTTGTGATCACCGTATGTGAGAAATACGATAAAATCAAGCAAAGAAGTTTTATATTAACGGAAGCTATTTTGCATTTTACCTAATCTGATGCCCCTGGTTATAAAGAGTTCACCTCAAATGAGGAAAGGGCATTAACCAGGTGCAATTTCTTGAAGTTCACACAGATTTTTCCTCACTCTGTAGACCTCAGCTTTATTTTTATTTGTATCTACAGATATGTAGGTACAAATAGATACACTTTAGTGCAATAATTACTAGTCTCAGAAGTCTTACGGCTTGAGAAGTTGTATCTAGGCTGATTTCTGGGGAGACCTCTAATCTAATTCCTTTGGACCCGATGCCCTTCCCACTTCCCCTCAAGCAAAGCGAAGATCAGAGCTTTCATCGTTTGTGTGAGAGAAACTCTGCTGAATTTTCCTGAGGCAAAATCAATACACAAAGATAGAACATAATGAAGCATCAAACCATTTGCTTCTACGCGAGGCCTGTGTGAAAATGCCAGCCCTGCCCATCTACATTCATGCCCTGCTTCTCTGCTCGCTGCTCCTCCAGGGTGCTATCCACCGCTCCGTAAACAACAAAACTCCATCTTTGCACAATTATTAATGCATTTAGCAACTGCCCTTGGATGTTCTTAGTTAATTTATGGATGCAAACTGCATCTTCGAGAGCTACTCGCCGGGTCTTCCCCAGGCAACACACGAGCTCCACGACGAGCTGAATGAAAGGCCCTACAAAAGCACAGCTCATTTTTTAATTATGTGAGAACCAGAGCTTGACTCCCTGCTGCCCCAAACACTCTGCAAAGCATGTTCTTTGCTCCAAATGTTAAAAGCAAGCCCCAACACCACAGCTATTAAACACATTCATCCATCGAGGGTGTATGTAAGAAGTCATTACATAATGAAAAAGCAGCTGGGTAGAATATAACAAAGAGTTACATGGGCTTTCATTGCACATCTTCCACATGAAGGATATGTCAAAGCTCGATATATTACAAGTCTTTCGTTTTTGCCCTTGCCTGAAAATACGTATGACTTAAGCCTCTTGTTACTGTCCAACTTTAGGGGCACTTGCACACTCATTTCACTGCAACTTCGAAGTGGTTCTCTTCTCATCACAAATCTTTGACCCTTAATTTCCCCTTTTTGGGAGCCATCAGCAAAAATATTGCACACATCTGCCCAAGTAAGTTATCGTACCCTGGTAATATCACATATAGCCCAGCAGCTGGAGGTTTGCACAGCTGATCTCAAATCTAACTTCAGTTAAAATGACCAAAAAAAAGGGAAAAAAAATCTTCTCTTGAGTGAAACTACACGTGGCTCCTCCCCTCACAAAGTCAATAACCCACTGGAAGAGCATAGAACAAAGTCGAAACATTTTGGCAGTACAGTCAAGAAACCAATAGGTAAACATTAAATTATAAATATAGTTTTAAAAATAATTCCTAGTTCCTTCTTCTACACGTGAATACTTTAGTAAAATTTGCTTAATAAAAACATCTCATCAAATCTAGTACAGCAACACTAGCTTAGAGTAGGCAGTTTTGTTTTTATTCAGTCTACTGGGGCTCAATCAATTGGACCCTTTTCTTCTAGGATAAAATAGAATATAGATAAAATATACCTTTAAAATAATGTTAAAGAATACTATCAAATCCAAAGAGTGTTACCCTGTCAATAATCCACTGAGAAATTTACAATCTATTTAAGTCACACATTGCTGTTCCAGTCACAACATTCCCAACACCTTCAAGAATGAATAAAGATTCAATTTTTATTCTTTCTTTTTTAGAAATGGTTGCATGACATAATCCTCATTTTACACATCCCAGATTTTAAAAAAGCAAAACACCTCACTCCCAGGTTACCCGTATTTGATAAACCACTTCCCTTTGGTAGGATAATTCTGTTTAAAAACAAAAGAGAACTCGTCCTTTTATCATATGCCGAAAAAGATCACTTGTGTACTGGGTTTAGACAAATCAGGGTAAATCCTCTTACCCTGGAACTGGGAAACTGCTAAAAAATGAGTTGGTTTAGCCATTTGAATTAGGTACTTACTCTCCAAATTGTTTCATGTGATGCTGTTTGAAAGATAAGACTATTTAGGAACAAATTGCAATGTGCAACATGGAGTTCCATAGTACTTCCCCATGCATGAAATGATGTAGGGGTAGGTAATAAACCAAACATTTTTAGAAAAATTAATTATTTTACATTAGACTTATTGTTAGTTTCTAAGTCCCAAGATGATGCTCAATGAGTTGTAAACATTCTATCTTAAAAACTATGACAAAATCCCCCCGAAGCAGAAAAAACAAGCAGTCTGAAAATGCCACAAATGAGTTGTAAACATTCTATCTTAAAAACTCTGACAAAATCCCCCCAAACCAGAAAAAAACAAGCACTCTGAAAATGCCACCATCAAGACAATCAAGGATCTTTTCCCAATTTCTTCTACTTATCTCCAAAATGAAAGAGAATAAAACAACATGGATGAAAAAGCGTAAGACAGGTCTTGGAAAAGTATTAACTACTGTATGAAATAGGTGGCAGCTGGGGTCTTGAAGGTGCTGGATATTATTTTAAAAGTTTCCTTTCTTTGCGAATGGTGAGGCAATTTAAAAAAAGGCTAATTAGGTAAAAAATAGTAATGGAAATATATTTGTCATATCGCATTTTTATCGTTCAGCTGACTTGTATGAGGAAAGGAGGAAAGGAATTCAATTATAACATTTTACAACTGCATCCAATACACTGGGGTAAGAGGCTGATTGTGGCTGATTTGCCAGTGACACAAGACAGAAAAAGATTAAGGGAAAAATCCACAAGAAAAAAAACCCAAAACCTCAAAGCCACTACATCCCAGGAAGGACTGTTTCTCACAATCATCAAAACGCAGATGGTGTCAGTGCAGATCAGAAGGTGGCTCTTAGAGCATCTGCTTTAGCCATCAAGGCTGGGAATTCCAGAGTAAAACACCACACCTAAGCACATAGTTGTACTATTATTTCTGAAGATAACACATTAAGGTTAGTACTGAGCAGTCAGAAAGAAATCTTATCTGAAAGGTGTAAATTTATGCCAAAACCCAAAGTAGCATATAGAATGGCTGTGGTCAAAAATCTCCTCCTCTTAATGTTACCTGTTGTTACTGCCACAGTTCAGTAATTTCAAATTATGAATACATTTTATCAAACCCCAACCTGGTGACTTGTATTAATGAACAGCTTCTACACAAACTCTTGGGGAGATAAGGACAGCAGCTACAAAAACCTTCAGAAGTACGGTCAAGTTTGTATTCCTGATAGTTTTGACCTACTCACCAAAAGAGTGGTAGAAATGGATGA